TTTGAAAAAAAAATTTTTCAACTTTTAACATTTCTCTGTCTTTTCCATTTTGTGATCACATTTTCTCTGTGTGGATTTATTCCTATAAATGCCATGATGGCACAGGCTGGGAGAAGGACCCCTCTTATCTTAGGCAGAAGAAAGGATGACAGAACCTCAAAGGACTTGAGGATAATTTTGTTACAGGCTATGATAGAGAGGCAAGCAGGGTCAGAGAGACCACTGACATAGCAAGGGGAGAGGAGAACAAAGGTGGAAAGAACACGTTCCCATGTGAAGGGGCTCCTTTCAGAATGGGAGTGTTGCCAAACTGCCTGAATGGTGGAGAGAAAGGGAGGGAAAAGCCACAGTCAAAATAGTATCATCTAATTCCCTTAGAAACCTGGCTCCACTTTCTTCCAACAAAGTGAATGAAACTTGTAATCTCATTTCATCCAGTGGCAGGAAATATGCATTAATGGTTAATGTGATACATGGACTCAGTAATGCGAAAAGATTTCTTACCTAACTAACTCTGAAGTGAGAACAACTATTTTTCATCATAAACATAGAAATTAGACTTTGTCAAGTAATGCTCCAACTACAACTCAAAGTGTTAGAATATGAAATTATAAAATGACTAAAATTATTCCCATCTGTCATCTTCTTATACAAACAGTTTTTCAGAGCCATTTGCTACCTGATATAACCCAATAGCTTTTATTAAATGTGGGTTTTACCTCACATCACTGTAATTTTCTTTAATTTTGTTGGCCATGAAAAAGGAAAATCATTTTAGTAATGCTTTTCTTCATTTCTTTGGCAATAGCATGATCTTGCAAAGTATAAAAGATTTCTCAGAGTTATGAGACAGCAAAAACTCAGAAGCAGAGTGTATGGAACAAGCAAGAAGATCCAATGAAGACGATGCAGAGGACTAAGGATGATTAGAATTAGTTTAATTGGGCAAAGACGGTTCTTTTTTTTTTTTTTTTTTTTTTTTTTGGTACTGGGGATTTACGCCAGGGGCATCTAACTACTAATCCACATCCCCAGCCCTTTTTATTTTGAGATGTGGTTTTGGTAAGTTTCTTAGGGTCCTGCTAAATTGCTGAGGCTGTTTTTAAACTTGCAATACTCCTGCCTCAGGCTCCTGAGTTGCTAGGATTATAGGCATGTGCCATGGAGCCTGGTTAGAGGACAATCTTCATTACTAAATTCAGTCCCACTTCAGAAGATTTAAAAATATTTGAGGCTCATTTTTCCAGAAAGAAACCATGACCTTAACCTCTAGAGTGATGTTGTGTGCCCTTTCTCATCAAATAGCAAACTCATGTCATGACTACTCAATATAGTTGTAAAACTAAGTGAAATATGCAACATTATCTGGACTTCTGGTGGCAGCCAGGAACATGTACAGATGTAAAAAGAAATCAAGTGTGCAGATTATGATGAAATAACTTGGTTTCAGTATAGATTCTCATGTAAAGTCAAATTTTATAACTCAACTAAAATCCCTCTCCTTTCCTGGCTAGAAAATAAAAGGTAGAGAGGGGAACAGCCAACTTTTAGCCACACTCACAGAAGAAAAGGAAATTACCTTATGTAAAGGATGTTATATACCAACTTTCATCGTAACATTAAAAGAAACAAACCAGATGGAGATTCAAAGCAGAAAGAGATTTTGAATATTACAAATTCCAGTGGGAGCCACTATTCCCCAGAACCTCAGGGATTATCTGATTTCTCAAAAAAAGAAATTTAGTGAGGTCCTGTAGACATGCTCTGTTTCTAGCCTGAAACCACATCAGAGGCACTGTTTGGATAAAGAGTATATTATCTTGGAAAACTAGACTAGCATCTTTGATCTCAGTAGACAGATTTCTTTCTAGTGGATAAATGGTCTTTGTACTAAGACATGACATATGTATTAAATTACATAATTTAATATGCACATATAAATATCAATCCTGAGGAAAGGAGACTGATTTCTTTTTTTCTTTTTCTTTTCTTTCTTTTTTTTTTTTTTTGCGAGGTGGGGAGTGGTAGTGGGGATTAAACTTAGTGGCGCTCGACCACTGAACTGCACCCAGTCCTATTTTTGTATTTTGCTTAGAGACAGGGTCTCACTGAGTACCTTAGTGCCTTGCTTTTTGCTGAGGCTGACTTTGAACTCGTGATCCTCCGCCTTAGCCTCCCAAGCCTCTGGGATTACAGGCATGGGCCACTGAGCCTGGCAAGGCTGATTTCTTAATGCATGCTTTCTTTCACTACCTCTACTACCTTGCCTGAAATTTGCAATTACGTGTTGCTCAGTTCCTGCCCCATTGCTTTCTTAGAGTAAATCTGTTTTTCCTTGGTTTCACATCTTGACTCAGGGCTTGGTATGTCACATCTGCAGAGTCTGCCTCTCTATCCCTTCCCCATTTCTTGTTTTTATAAGGATGAGGCATTCAGTTCCTTTGCTTCTCATGCCATAATGAGATTTCTTAGGCTTGTTGATTACTCTCTGTCTACTTTTATGAATAAGGACTCCAGGCTTCAAGGTCAAGATACATGTCATGTCTCTTAATTTCCCCAATTCAGCTCTTTAAAGTTTAATACTCTTGTGCTGTATCTGTGGACCAATTTCTACCTCAATTGATATCTGATAGTTTATAGTCACTGGATCCAATTTTTTTTCTTAACCAGGGCTTCCCAGAGAGTGAGTGGCAGATTTCATATACTCATTGAGTATTGGCTGGAAGCTATGAACATAGGCTATTCTACAGTTTCCAAAGATACCAAAGAAAAAACAAAACCTAATAACACCAGAATTTTCTGTGCTATCCTAATGGTAGGAATATGACAACAATAATTCAAAAAACCCAGAAATCCAAAATAGTAACATAGAGTTAATTCCTTAGATATAATGAAGAAATTAATAAAAGTAATAAAGAAATAGAAAGAATGTGCCATATTAAAGTAGGACTGTAAAATTTGAAATGATATTTTAATGGAATGATCCCAAGCTTCCCATAAGAGCTAGTATTTCATTTAGCATTCCAGAAATTTCTAGCTATTCATATGCTCTACCACTGAGCTACACCACCACTATTATTTATTTTTATAGAAGCAGCAGGATGAAGGCAAACAGAGATTGTTAATGAAGACCAAGCAGGCTCACCAGTTAAGATGAGCATGGCTTTTATTTGGATACTCAACACCAACTATAACAAGGAAGCAATATGGATGAGGGGATCCTCTTTTAAACAGAGAACTAGCACAGAAGAATTTTCCTTTCAAAAGTCAACTGTGAAAAGAGAAAAAGTAGGAGTGGATGGCAGGAGATCAGGCAACAAACCAAAGAATTAGGAGTGGGGTGAGAGTAGAGGTCCCTGGTGTTAAGTACATCTCACCAGCAAAGAAGTTCTGCAACAAGGGAAAAATTTCTGCAGATATATTTATATGTGGACCTGGGGAATAAAGATATCTATATCCAGCTTACTCAGTCATTAGAAAGAATAAAAATACTACTCTGAATGTGTGCATTTGTGTGAGTGTGTATACGTGTGTGTGCACATATACACACTTTATGGTGGATGGGGAGAAAGGGAGGGAGAGAGAAAACTAAGAAGTAAAAACATTAGGCCAATGACACATGTTTGGACAATATGAGTGTGTGAGTATTCAATTTTGGAAACTGAAATTTTTGAAACCCTTGAAAAATCAGCCTTTAAAAAGAAAAAGAAATAATATTAAGATATTGAGAAAATGTTCCCTGTCTTAGGAAGAATTCAGCATAATCTTGTTTTTAGTTCTGCTGTGAACACACATTTATGTTTATGTGTGTGTATACAAAATTTGATTTTTGCAAATAGTTTATCATGTAATTTTGTTCTCCCCAAATGGCTATGCTTATATGATTTCAAACCTTTAACTGAATCTTCACCTGAAATATCTTTTTTTCCTTCCCTGAGTTCATTGAACTTTACCATCTCTGAATCTAAATCACAGCCCAGGATTACCTTCCACACACTTTTTTATTCTCCTGAGTTGAAGCACAACAAGTTTCTGTTTGAAAGGGTCCCAGTGATTAATTACTGCTCAATGAATAAAGAAAATATAGGTCAAATCCTCTATTAATGGAAACTTTTGGCTTCCTCTATAGCACCAATATCATTCTAGCCTCTTCCATTGTGTAATAGTGCTGGTTGGGTGGAGTTAACTCCACCCTTACCTCTGTAAGTGGGCCTCAATTGCCTAAACTACCCAGTGGAATTCCACCTCTCTACCTATTGTTCATGACTAGAGCTTGTCCAACCAGAATGAAACTCAGCACCTTTCTCTAGAGTTGGGAGAAGTTCTCTCTCTTTATAGAGCATGTGATGTGCTGAGATAATGACTGGAACTACTGCAATTAATTTGCTAGTGTGGGAGAAGCCAGATTGAGGGTAAAGCCAACACCCAGAAGGCAAGGCATCACTCCAAATGGGAGTCAGAATTCTGATCAAACCACACTGAAGCCACAGCCACTTCTGGGGGATACAGTTATTTAAACCTATATATTCCCTTTATGGTTTAAACAAGAGAAAGATATTTCCTATAATTCATATGCCTCCCTATTATATGTTGAGTTCCCCCCATTTTAAAATCTTTGGGATCCAATATGTAATTTGTCTTCTTGAAACTTAATTCATTTAGAAAAATAAAATAATGGCACTTTCAGATAGCATTTACTACCCTAGTAAGTTCATTATACATTTTTGCTGCTTTGCTGATTATTGAAATTTATATTCACAAGTGGTAAAAGAGTAAATTTAAAAACTCTTTCTACTATAATTTCTGTTCAAAACAATTAGTGTTCTCTTACACAGTAGTGACATGGACATTTTATTAATTCATATAATAAGCATTTTCTGAAAATTTAAATTCATTCTAATTGTGTGTAGATGAGTATGTAGTGTACATAAACACTTGGCAAAAGATTAGCTTTGTTTAACATTCCTCAGTGTTTCTTGAAATCTATTAAACATAGATACCTTTTCGATGAAACTGAAGAGACCCCAGTAGACAAATGGATTTTAGCATCTCTGTTGTGTACATTTCCAAGCAACACTGCAGTTGGATATAAAGCCGACAGATTTCTGGGTGTATCTCACCATCTTCCGGGCTGCAATAGAATGAAAGAGAAAAGCTGTGAACAGTCTCAAGATTTCACTTATCAGCCATTTGTCTCAGCTATGCAAAGGGAAAATGCTCAATAAGGATTCCTTAAAGCTGGAGTCTGAAATATAGGGCTTCCTGCTTTCAAACCAATAATTGATGTGACAGCTCTTATATAAGTATTTTTCTGACTAACTGCTCTTACTTTTTCCTCCCTTAAGTAGCAGATTTCTTCTGAGAGCTTAAAATCATAAGTGCTTTAAGTAATTGAGAATATCAGACATTTTCAATTTAGCCATTTGAACAAATTTCCAAAATATACTTAAAGCATAGTAATATCCTAGCCTGTAAAAAGAGATCAAAAACTCTTGTTTTTAGAGAAACTACCAAACTCTATTAAATTAACATTCATAAGACAACTCTTTAATGTTAGGGCACCAGCATAATATAATTAGAGTGCTAATTTACAAATTATTTTTATCAAGGTTCTTTGTCTCTGTCTGAAGGATATTCTTGTATTGTTTTCTAGGACTAATTTATGAAAATCCCAAGGTTTTTAATGAAAAATAAAAATTTTGTGAAAAAAGAAAAATAATCAAGTTCTAATAATTATTCTTAATAATCTAAGCTATTATTTCCAAACAAAATAGAATATGCTGTATAATGTAAGCTAAATAAAAAAGCTAAAGTTTAAAGATAGACTCTAGATGAAAGCCAGCCTGAAAGTGAACTGTCATGTGTTCTAATGTATTGTCTTTACTTCTATCCTCATTCATTTAAAATGCAATGAAGTCTTATTAAACAATATAGTATCTGGACTTGATTCCTTTGTTAAATGGGTCAGTGGTGAATGTCAGGAGTAATTATTAGAAACAAAAAGGTGGCTTCATTGTATAAAAGTCCTGAAATCATAGCAAAAATAATTTGTATGTACACTGCACATGACAATGACAATTAGTCTTCAGTTCCAATGCTTAGTTGATGAGCAAAGAGTTGAACCATATGGCTTTTGCAGTGCAGGAATATTCACAGTTCTTTGCCACAGTCATCCCAGGTCTTTCCTGTGTCAGAATAAAGTGCCTCAGAGAGCTTGAATGCTAAATTTGGCTTTATCTGGAAATTAAAAGACTATCTTACTTTCTCATTTGTTTCTCATAGATCCAGCCCTAGACCAACACTGGAAGCAAGTGATCTGGGGTGAAAGTCTCAGGTTTTCTTTCAGGGCTTCTTCCCATAGGTGTTTTCTACTTTCAAGAGTTCTCCATCAGGAGTTTCCCCTAGACATATGCCACCAGCTACACACACTCATTATTTCATATCATCTTCAGCCTTTGGAAATATCTCTGACTGTGTTCCATTCCCTGACGGTCTTTCTAAACTCTGAATGGTTAATAGGAATTAACAGTTCCCATAATAAAAGGTGATCTTGGTATGTTATCTGCTAATAGATTGCTTTTCATAGAAACATCTGAAGATAATGTCTTATTCCCAGGGCACACTAGGAGAAGAATATTTTAAGGCAGGCAGGTCTTCTCTATGCTGCTTCATCATCCCAATTGCAGCTGCCTGTTTTCACCTACGCATAGTACTAGTCCTGGTGGCTCATATGCAGATTAAAGAAAAAAAGAAACAGAACATTATAAAAAATCTGTTGTATGTATTGCACATTTTATGTGTGGGACAATTAGCCAGTACAGTTTCATTCCAATCCATGGGGTATTCTTATTTTCAGAGTTACAAAATATGTGCCTAGTGGCTTAGTTCCAAAAATATGCAAACTTCATATATAGATGACATTTAAGCAAATGACTACTGTGTTAACATATCTTAAGGGCCAGTTTATTTTATTATTTCACAACTAGAGAGAAATAAAGTAAACACTCTGAGAAAAGGCAAGACAAGTTGGAACAAATTCCTATTCAAAACGTTTCTGTAGGTGACATCTCCTTAATGCCTCTATAACCCATGGAGATCTAGAAACTGTGAAACTACTCTGCCCCTCAAAAAATGTTATGGAAAGGAACCGAAGAGACACCAGATATATAATCTGCTTAAAAAATTAATTGATGCTAAAGATAAATTTTTAAATCTCTGGTTAAAACATTCATACATATTCTTTCATATACTAGCTTTTCATATCTTGGAAGATTGAAGTATGCCTATAGGAACTAGTTAAAGAGCAGTAGAAATGCAAAGATATCTTTTATGTTAGTGTTTCAGGAGCCTAGAGCAACATATAGTGATCTCTGGAAATTGTACAATTTATATCTACCATTTTAGAGCTCTAACACACATCACTGTTACTGATTACTAAAAGTGCATCCAGAGACATTGTCCAGTGAATTATAGTATGTCTAATGTTATAAACAGTGAACTGAAAAGAATTTTTGAGAAGGATTAAATACATTAAATTATTTTCATAACAAATGAATAAGAGCTGGAGTATTAAAATGGGCAAAAAGCCAAAAATATCAATTTATCTTAGGGATAAATTACACAACCCAAGAAAATATTTAATTGTAATAAAATTAGACCTGTGGACATCCAGCTTGAAGGTGACTTGAAAACATACTATGTTTGCTCTAAAAAGCTTCACTCTTATTAATCAAAGTTTAGGTCTGTGAGAGTTACCCTGAGGTGATGCTCATTTAATGCAATCAAAGGTTAGGATTATTTGTTTATTTTTCTATTGAGTCTAAGTCAAGAGTTAACCTGACCATTTTGATTAATGTCAGAGCTTCAGTGTTTATAGAAAAAAAAACACCCTGAAAATTAGTTCTGACAAAATTTCAGGGCTAAAGTTAAACCCCCAAACACTTAAAATAGACACTGAATTATGAATCTGCTTTCAATCAACTCTTTAAGGATGAGAATCAGGATTTAATGAATGAATTATACAGCTTAAGAAACCCAAATTGCTATAGTAACAAGAGGACATGAACACAGATACTGCCTTAATCCCCTTTTGAAAATGAGACTCTTCAATGTGAATATTCTTATAATTCAAAAAGTAATATGAGACCTGCCGGAATGAGTAAAATAAAAATGATAACACCAAATGTTGGTGATGATGTGGAAAAACAGAAACTCTCAAATATTGTTGGTGGGAGTTAAAATGTTCAACACCTTTGAAGAAAAGTTCTGGAAGTTTCTTACAAAACTAAACATACACTTATCCTATGACCTGGCGATTCTGTTTCTAAATATTTGCCCAAGAGAAATGAAACATTAACACATAGATATCTACATGAGTGTTCCTAGTACTCATCTTAGAATCACCCAAAACCAGAAACAGACTCTGTGTCTGTCAAGAGGAAAATGGTTGCAGAAATTAGTATATTGCTACAACAGAGCAGTATACTCAACAATTAAAAGTAGCTGACTCCTTTAAAACAACATGGATGAATCACCAAAACCTCATCTTCAGTGAAAAAATCCTTATACAAAAGAGTAAAATAAAACTTCATTCACACAAAATTCTAGAATAGGTAAAAGTAATTGCTGGAGAGAAATCTTCAAATAGTATTGAGGTCCCTCTGGGAAGGGAAATGAGGAGACTTTGTGGGATGAGGGTGATACTCCATATCTAAACAGAGATTTGAGTGACATGGGTGGGTACTGAATGGTACACTTAAGTTATTGAATTGTTTCACTTAAGATTTGTATATTTTATTATATACAAAGTTTACTTTCATATTGAACTGTAGTTAATGATATGCATGCTGAATTGTTTAGAGGTAAAGTTTACTGATGTCTGCAACTTCAGAAAAATTTTATGAAATTTTGATTGGACAACAGGATGAAGAGACAGGTGGATATATAGTGAAGCAAGTACGTTAATAAAATGGTGGAGTCTCAGTGGTATGCATTTACATAACCACTGAGGATTTGCATTTCCCCCAAATAACTACATGGCATAAATTGAACAAAACATCTGGGAAGATTTATGGTTTGTAAGATCAAGTTCAGGAGTTACACTGGGATTTTAGTTGTGGAATGTCTTGGCCCTGCATCTGTCTACTCTTTTACTAAGGTTGCCAGACTTTGGCTGTCTGTGTAGCTGCTAAGAGGTTTTTAAAAACCAGCAAAATGTTTGTTGCTTCGATAGTCTGTTTGTGTATTTAGTTGAAGGCAGTAAGACAAAGAAAGGAAAATGGGTTCTTGAGTCAGAAAACTTAGATTTAATTTAACTGCTTAGAATTGTGATCTTAGGAAAAAACATTTTTATCTTTTCTTGAGACTCAGTTTCCTCTACTCTGAAACAGGAATAACAACTATACAAAGAATCTCAAAGTTACTGCACAGATCAAATGAGATCATGTGTGGGAAAACAAGTAAAAAATGTGAAGGATTGTAAGAAGTTGGCTGCAATCCATTTTACATCAAAGTTGTGTTTACTTAGCCTTATGCTCACATATAGTCCTTAGTTATTGAAATCCTCCACTATTTTGTAGCATTCTTTATTTGCTTGCAGTTCTCAAATAGGGACTTTGGTTAAATAAATGTCGCATTAGGCTGAGAAAAGAAGGTAGTGACCCATTGACAACTGCTCAACATTTTGCAGATTTTAGTGATGACAGATAAATATATGGCATTTGTCAGCTAGCAGAGATGGAAACCAGAACTCCTGCTGCAGCAAATATATCCAAGTTTCTCTTTTTGGAAGTAATTATGTTTTTGTCTATTAAGCCAAAAAGCAAAGAAAGACACAGGAAGCTAAGGGGGATGAGGGAAGGGAATGGTATCCTTTATTTCTCAGAGCAAATGGCTAGGGAGGAATCAGAGATTACATGGCAGACTGAATGATCTCCAGGATGTCTCTTCAAATATCCCCCCTGGTTCCTCTTAGGTACATATGAATACACCTAATTCTCTGCCAACATCAGAGTTCAGCCTTCATATGGTTTTAGTGAAGGAGATTTCCTCAAGATAGTCCCTATTGATTATAGGTCTGTTTAAGCAATAGACAATCAGGGGAAAAGGAGGGCATGATCCTAGGTTTCAGAT